TCTATATCACATTGCAGCAAAAATCAAGAAAAGATGATCAGACTTCAATTGACTCAATGAATCATGCATCAATCAATTAAAATCAAACAGTATAACAATCCCAAGTCATTACAATCAAGATCCCTAACACATGGAACTAGGGTTCTTCATACCCAAGTGAGAGAAAGTTCTACTCCATAGAGAGAGAGGGAAACAGAATACAAAGCAGTCATACTCATAACAATGGGAAGAATCTGCTCTGGCATGTCAATCTTCACTCCTGAGGATGCAATCGGGGCTTTAATGGTGAGAAATCCACCCCAAATAGCTCCTAGGGTTTGTTCTTCGCACTTTCTCTCTCTAAACTCAGCTTTTGCTCCAATAAGTCGATTCCCTCTCCTTTGGCTCGAAATTGGGTTAAAACCTAGAAATTCCCGACCACACGGCCAGGCCACACGGCCAGGCCACACGACCGTGTGGAAATTCCAGCTGCCCGTGTGGCTTTCAAAACACCGCGTTTTGATTAAGTAACTTCCAGGCATGCTGCACGGCCAGGGACACACGGTCGTGTGGATTTCCAGGCTGCCCGTGTGAGCTCCCTGGACTTTCCACACGGTCAGTGTGGCTTGCCCGTGCAAAATGGTGCCACACGGCCAAGTCACACGGCCGCGTGGGATTTTAGGCGTGCCCGTGTGGCTTTCCCAGCTTCTCGCCAAACGTCCAATCTTCGTCCAATCGACCCAGAACTCGTTCCCAAACCTTCATTCACGTACTAGGACCTGAAATATCACAAACACGAACAACCTAGCGTGAAATTGGCCTAAAACATGAGAAATAAGACTCAAACGGTGTAAGAATGGTGGACAAAAACATGTGTATATATCAAGTCATAGCTGAAGCAGTTACTGACAGATTCAGCAAAAGCTTCAGTGTCGAAAAATCTAGAGGCAAATATGGATGTTAACGTTTCTGACTTATATGATTGGCTTATTGATTCAGGGTGTAATGAGCAGATCGCGCGTGATAGTAGTTGGTTAGATGAACTTGATGCATCAACCGTTTTTGCTCCTATGAGAATACCGAATGGGGAGAGTGTACCGTTGCATGGTACGGGTTCGGTTCGGTTGACTGAGAAGCTTACTCTACGTCGTGTATTACATGTTCCTGAGTTCAAGTGTAATCTTTTATCCGTCAGCCGGTTATGTAAGGATAATAATGTTGCATTGACATTCCTGGCTGATTTCTGCGTTCTCCAGGCCTTACCTTCAATGACCGTGATTGGGATTGGTGAGTCTCGGGATGGCCTATATTACTTGCGTCGAGATCGAAGTGTTTTGGATCGAGAAGTTTGCTCTACGACAGCAAGTGCGGTTGCTCGAAGGGTGGAGTCATCGAGTCTTTGACATGCCCGATTAAGACATCCTTCGGCGGCCAAGTTTACTTTGTTGAGAAGTTTTCTTAGTTGTAGACACGATGTTCGGCCTATACAGCATTGTGCCCCTTGTTTATGTGCTAAACGGTCTCGCACACCTTTTACTTTGAGTTCAGTTAAGACGAAGGATTGTTTTGAGCTTATACATTTGGATATTTGGGGTGGTTATCGGACCCCTGCTGTTGATGGTTCTCGTTTTTTCTTGACCATTGTTGATGACTACAACCGTACTACTTGGGTTTATCTGATTAAGTACAAATCGGATGTAGAGCGATATATTAAGATGTTTTGTCAGCTTGTCTTGACCCAGTTTCAGAAATAGGTACGCAGGATTCAAGCGGATAATGGGTTGGAGTTTGCTACCCATACTTAACGTGATTTCTATGAGGAGCATGGCATTGTGCTCTGCGTCGCCACCTTCTTGAGATGGCACGCGCTCTGCGGTTCCATAGTGGACTTCCTGTCAAATTATGGGGTGAGTGTGTATTGACGGCTACATACCTAATTAATCGGCTGCCATCTGTTGTTCTCAGCAACAAGACACCGTACAAGGTTCTCCTTGGTATCACCCCCTCCTATGCGCATCTGCGTAACTTTGGTTGTCTTGTCTATGCTAAAGACACTCATCATGGACTCGATAAGTTCGCAGAATGAGGCAGACCCTGTGTATTCGTTGGTTATCCGGCATCACAGAAGGGGTATCGGGTATATGATTCTCAGTCTCACAAGATTTTCACCTCCAGAGACGTTCATTTCGTCGAGGACGTTTTCCCTTTTAAGGACCTATCCCAGGATGGCGCTCATGCACCAGTAGCTCTTGTTCCGCTTGCTGACCATGATGTTGCGGATGAGAGTCCCATCCTTTGGCTCTTACTGCTCCTTTTGGCCTTGGGCATTACTCCTCCGGATGCGGAATTGCATGGGGAAGATTCTCCCATGCATGGGACCACGTCACCTGTTGGTTCCTCCTCCCCATCATCTTCTCATGACCCACGCATCCCACATGTTACTGCAGATGATCATGGTGCTGTTGCCGTTCACGATGAACCTGCACCTACTGCTGATCCACCAGCTCCGTGTCGTGGCCTACGACAACACTGGCCTCCTTCGCACCTGTCCATCTATGATGTCAATATTCCAGGTCATGCTTCTCACTGTCACCTATCCTATTTCTAATCACGTCATGTATCATCGCTTTACACCTTCCCATTGTGCTTACTTGGCAGCGATTTCAAGGATACCGGAGCCCCGTACTTTTTCTCAAGCTGTCAAACACAGCTACTGGCGTGAGGCGATGGCGAATGAGATTCGTGCCTTGATTGCTAATGGCACGTGGACTTTGGAGGACTTGCCTCCCAGGAAGCATCTTATTGACTACAAATGGGTGTTCAAAGTCAAGTATCACCCTGACGGTTCCGTTGAGCGCTTCAATGCCCGTTTAGTAGCTAAAGGGAACACTCAGCAGGAGAGTGTCGACTTCCACGACACCTTCGCACCAGTGGCTAAGCTTGTCACAGTTCGTGTTCTCATTGCCGTTGCTGTCCAACGTGGTTGGCCTCTCCACCAATTAGACGTTAACAACGCTTTCTTACACGGTGATCTTGATGAGGAGGTGTACATGCGGGTCCCACAAGGTTTTGCTCTAGAAGGTGATCATCGGGTTCGCAGGTTGCGTAAATCTTTGTACGATCTCCGCCAGGCATCCCGGAACAGGTATACCAAGTTCACTCAAGCCCTCAATGAGCTCGGCTTCACCACTTCTCGCGCAGATCCTTTGTAACACCCTACCCTATACGTATTACCTAATCATATTGTTCATACAATTGCAGCGGAAATAATCTCGGGTGTTACATTAATTATCAAAATTTACCAAAATAAAATTTCGACATGAATTACTCGCGTAATGGGCTAACAGTTCTTGTAACTAAAACCTGCAAAATAATTTATCTGAATCCCTGCATCCATAAACAAACATATATACTCACAACCATATACATTGGCTTTCATAGCCATAGGCACAATTTTATACTCCACAACTGCATACCTTACTAATACATATCATAGTCGTCATAACTTACACAACCACATAAATATACACATATCATCAACTTTCCACACCTGTGGATATCTCACACTACATCAGAAGCTAGTATGCACATGAAAAACATTCTCAAAACATTTTTACAAAAAGAGGTGTGGATTACTAGCCAAAATCCCGAGTAGTAGTCCAAGCACATAATAGTTGAAGACCATACATCATCTTGCCTTCAACTGTAGCTCCTCTCCCACCTAACACTTATCTACTACTGCTGATAATGATCTGCTTACACATAGCATAAGCAAAATAAAAGAATAAAAGAGGGTCAGCTCATAGCTGAGTGAGATAATCATATCATCGTTAGTTCATAACAGAGCACACCCCTACCATACATCTAGCAAACAAGCCAAATCACTAGGATCAGACCTCAGGCATCCAACATCCCAATAGGCAAACGACTCAACCACCTTGACTTATGCATATGCATCTTGTTGGGGAAGCAGGGTTCGTGGCACAAACAAATCTTATCATGTTTTACTTATAGGCGTCTGGCTACTCCCATGCTAATAACTCTCCCAGGAAACATACCCCACATCCCGTCGGATGTAGTCATACATACCCCAACATCCCGTCGGATGTGGTCATACATACCCCACACCACTATGGGTGTAGTCATACCCCGACACCACTCTGGGTGTGGTCATATCTCATAAGAATTCTTCAGTCACCACCACATGAGAGGTGTGACTATCATACATACCACAATAGAGTAATAGCATAGGGAGCTCTAATTACAATGTAGTTGACCGTGAGACCACAACACTCATATTTGGTATCCTTATACATGATTCATATTTCATCTTGCCTAATCATAATTCATTACTTGCACAAGTACTTGACCTGGCCATAATTGGCTCAACATAGGTAAATCACGAGTCTTATAATTGCACTTCCTCGGTATAAACCCTCGTGCAAGTCATCCTCCTTAAACATCATAATATCACCCTGGGAAGTTTATTTCCCCCCACTTGTGAATCCAAATACAACCACAATATCACATCATGTCAAAACACCTGATCGAATAACCATGAAGTCATATCGACGGTTAAGCCACAAATGGCAACATGTATGCAATCATCAACACAAACAAGGTCCATATCGGCTAGGGCAAGTCAATAATATCATACCACAATCCATGGTTCATCATATAGCATAAAAGTCCATACACCCCTAATCATGCCATCCTAAATCACCTAGGTCAATTCTAAGCATCAATATAATTATCGTGATACGACAAACCCGGTATGCCGTGCTAATCCCTCACCAGTTCTGGCCGTTCAAACACTGATTTAAGCTTCCCGTACTAAAACGTCAATTTCACCAACGAACCCCGAATTAAAATCCGAGACCGTCCTAATATCCCCTGCAGTATCCCCGTCAATATTAGTTCTAGGCTCCGGGTCAAATTCTTGATAAAAACACATCAAACCCTGGCCGGAGCTAAATTCAGCGATTTGGACCCCGACCTAAATAATTGCCAAAATTCAGGGATTAGAACTAGAGGATTGATTACCTCACTGCAAGAAGCTCGTATATGAAATTTGGGCTCAATCCGGCTTCCGGATATTCTGAAACCCTAATTTGGCTTATCGGGAATTTAAGAAATTCCAGAACCAAAAACTTGTTTTAAAGCTCTAAATCGATAAATCACGATGTATAGATGAATTAGGCATTACTTACGGGATTTTGGATCACTAGGGCTCAAGATTGGAGCTTTGGAATTTTTGGCCGAGCGCTCCGTGTGTGCTCTGTTTCTCTGGCTTTCTCTCGTCCAAATAAATGGAACAGAAGAAGATGATGAGAAAGGAAATGGATTGGGGATTTATATAAGTGGCCTCTTGATGTTATATATATATAAATATAATTATATATATAATTAATATGTATACTTATCTGATCGATCGATATTTCGATTTTCGCCGAAATACTATCAAAATACTCGATTTTAAATCGCGAACTTTCTAGCGATCGAAATATGGGTTTTGCCGGAACGGGATGTTACAATTCTCCCCTCCTTAAAAGATTTCGCCCCAGAAATCTAACCTTGAGTTGTACCCTTAGTCCGCTCACTTACCCTTGACATGGTCTATCGTAGATAAACCATTACCTAACTCTTAGGTTAGGAGATATGAAGTACATAAATAAACACATAACACCTCAAGTTCCCATGTTTAGGTTTCAAAAACCTATACTGGGCTACCACAACAAAAGCACATCAGCAAGTTCAAAACATAACTTTTTAAGCAAGATTGTTAACCTGCAAAGTATGTCGCTACCAACTCAGGGTACTTCTCTCGCATACTTGCTTCAGTCTCCCATGTATCACTCTCACTTTCTAGATTCCTCCACACAACCTTCAACATTGGAATTTCCTTCCTACGAAGAGTCTTAATCTAAAAATCAACAATCTCAACTGGAACCTCTTCAAATGTCAAATCTGGACCCAACTCGATATCTTCTGGTTGTATAACATGGGAAGGATCCACTTTGTACCTCTTCAGCATATTAACATGAAATACATTATGGATTTGGGATAGCTCTGGAGGCAATGCTAGTTTATATGCCACTGGTCCAATCTTCTCTGTGATTTCATATGGTCCAATATACCGAGGTGCAATTTTCCCTTTCTTACCAAATCTCATTACGCCTTTCCAGGGTGACACTTTGAGAAATACTTTCTCACCCACTTCGAAATTAACTTCACGCCTATTCGTGTCAACATAAACTTTCTGTCGATCTTGAGCCACCCTCAAACGCTCCCTAATTTCCTTGACCTTATCAATTGTGATCTAAACTATTTCTGGCCCTGAGATTTGACTTGCTCCTTCTACATCCCAACATAATGGTGTTCTACAGTTCCTGATGGCTGATTTCGACCACCACCTCTACCACCCTGTGAACAACCACGACCACTTTGAAATCCACTAAGGCCTCCCTGGTAACCACCCGTGAATGGGGATCTACTAAATTGCACTGAAGGCTCGGACTGTATAGCTCTTACTTCTCTCGAATGCGGACAGTCCCTCATGATGTGCCCAGGTTGGCCACAGTGAAAGCATACACCAGAAAATCTCCTACACTCTCCAAGATGCCTCTTCTGACAAACTTGACAAAATGGAAATTGTGTGGCTGAGGAAATTGGTGCCATGTATGATGTTCCCGACATAGATTGACTCGGTGTTCTCCCAAAACTGCTAGGACCTCTCCTGGGTAGGTAACGAGGTCCAACATAACTCACTCCAAACTTCCTTTTCTTCTTCTCTTCTTTGGCCTTGTTTTCCTCTCTACCCTCAACTTCATAGGCTTCATACTTAAGTGTTGCCTCCTTGATAGTGGCCATGCTCTCTTCATCAACCATGTGGATCTTTTCTTTCAATCCTATGCGCAGACCATGCAAGTATCTCATCTTCTTCTTATGCTCAGTATCCGCCAACCCATCTTCAAAGTAAAGTAGTCGAACAAACTTGATGGTGTACTCAGTACCTGTCATATTCTCCTGCTTAAGGTTGGTGAATTCATTTTTCTTTGCCCTGATAAAAGCTTCGGGAAGAAACTCTGTCTTAAAGGCCTTCAGGAACTCCTCCCAGGTGAACTGAACTCGTTCACCATTAACTCTAGAGACTGAGGACCACCAGCTCCTCGCGTACCCCTTTAGGAGAAAAACAACATACTGCACTTTTTCCTCTGGGGTTGCATAAAGATACTCAAACACATCTTCCATCTCTCTCAACAACTCTACTACAGCATCTGGACTCACATCTCCCTTGAAGTCCCTACCACCCAAACTCTTCATCTTTGCATAGTCTAATACTGGCGGTCTTGCATCAACCGCCTCCACTCCTCTTGACTGGTCAGTAGGAACATTATGACAACTTCCGTGCGAGCTACAAGGAAATATTGGCCTTAGATTGATCCACACAAAATTCATTCTTCACCAAATCTCTCACTTGGTTAAAACAAAATTTTCCCCAAAATAATTACTTGAAAACAAATAAGTTCAAAACTCAATTTTGAAAATCATGATGCAGGTAATTTCATCCAATATACCAATACACATAATCATGTCAAACTCAATTCCCAGTTTAAGTCATTATGGGGTACTCCTCTCCTTAGGAGTGTTTAACCTCCCATAGGGTATAGTACGCCATAACAACAAAAAGAGGGAACCGGGCTCTGATACCAAACTGTAACACCCTACCCTATACGTATTACTTAATCATATTGTACATACAATTGCAGCGGAAATAATCTCGGGTGTTACATTAATTATCAAAATTTACCAAAATAAAATTTCGACATGAATTACTCGCGTAATGGGCTAACAGTTCTTGTAACTAAAACCTGCAAAATAATTTATCTGAATCCCTGCATCCATAAACAAACATATATAACCACAACCATATACATTGGCTTTCATAGCCATAGGCACAGTTTTATACTCCACAACTGCATACCTTACTAATACATATCATAGTCGTCATAACTTACACAACCACATAAATATACACATATCATCAACTTTCCACACCTGTGGATATCTCACACTATATCAGAAGCTAGTATGCACATAAAAAATGTTCTCAAAATATTTTTACAAAAAGAGGTGTGGATCACTGGCCAAAATCCCGAGTAGTAGTCCAAGCACAGAAAAGTTGAAGACCATACCTCATCTTGCCTTCAACTCTAGCTCCTCTCCCACCTAACACTTATCTACTGTTGATGATGATGATCTACTTACACATAGCATAAGCAGAATAAAAGAATAAAAGAGGGTCAGCTCATAGCTTAATGAGATAATCATAGCATCGTGAGTTCATAACAGAGCATACCCCTACCATACATCTAGAAAACAAGCCAAAGCACTAGGATCAGACCTCAAGTATCCGACATCCCAATAGGAAAACGACTCAACCACCTTGACTTATGCATATGCATCTTATCATGTTTTACTTATAGGGTCCTAGCTACTCCCATGCTAATAACTCTCTCGGGAAACATACCCCACATCCCGTCGGATGTAGTCATACATACCCCAACATCCCGTTGGATGTGGTCATACATACCCCACACCACTATGGGTGTAGTCATACCCCGACACCACTATGGGTGTAGTCATACCCCGACACCGCTCTGGGTGTGGTCATATCTCATAAGAATTCTTCAGTCATAACCACATGAGAGGTGTGACTATCATACATATCATAATAGAGTAATGGAATAGGGAGCCCTAATTACTATGTAGTTGACCGTGAGACCACAACACTCATATTTGGTATCCTTATACATGATTCATATTTAATCTTGCCTAATCATAATTCATTACTTGCACATGCACTTGACCTGGCCATAATTGGCTCAACATAGGTAAATCATGAGTCGTATAATTGCACTTCCTCGGGATAAACCCTCGTGCAAGTCATCCTCCTTAAACATCATAATATCACCGTGGGAAGTTTATTTCCCCCCACTCGTGAATCCAAATACAACCACAATATTACATCATGCCAAAACACCTTATCGAATAACCATGAATTCATATCAACGGTTAAGCCACAAACGGCAACATGTTCGCAATCATCAACATAAACAAGGTCCATATCGGCTAAGGCAAGTCAATAATATCATACCACAATCCATGGTTCATCATATAGCATAAAAGTTCATACACCCCTAATCATGCCATTCTAATTCACCTAGGTCAATTCTAAGCATCAATATAATTATCGTGATACGACAAACCGGTATGCCGTGCTAATCCCTTGCCAGTTCTGGCCATTCAAACACCGATTTAAGCTTCCCGTACTAAAACGTCAATTTCACCAATGAACTCCAAATTAAAATCCGAGACCTTCCTAATATCCCCTGCATTATCCCCGTCAATATTAGTTCTAGGCTCCGGGTCAAATTCTTGATAAAAACACATCAAACCCTGGCCGGAGCTAAATTCAGCGATTTGGACCCCGACCTAAATAATTGCCGAAATTCAGGGATTAGAACTAGAGGATTGATTACCTCGGTGCAGGAAGCTCGTATATGAAATTTGGGCTCAATCCGGCTTCCGGATACTCCGAAACCCTAATTCAAGAAATTCGTGAACCAAAAACTCGTTTTAAAGCTCTAAATAAAAAATCACGATGTATAGATGAATTAGGCATTACTTACGGGATTTTTGGATCACTAGGGCTCAAGATTGGAGCTTTGGAATTTTTGGCCGAGCGCTCCGTGTGTGCTCTGTTTCTCTGGCTTTCTCTCGTCCAAATAAATGGAACAGAAGAAGATGATGAGAAAGGAAATGGACTGGGGATTTATATAAGTGGCCGCTTGATGTTATATATATATAGTGGCGTCTTCGGTGCACTCAATTTTTTAGGTGAATTTAGTGCACTCGTTCCATAACCGTCATTTTAAACATGCGATTTGTGTCAAAATGATGTCATTCCTCACTTATGATGTGATGAACAATAACGCACATGAATTTGCACGAAAATCCCATTAAAGATTTACTTTAATTTGAAGGATTTAGAGTTTAGAGATTTAGGATTAGGGTTTAAATTTTGGGGCTTAGGGATAGAACTCAACGTTGGAGGTTTAGGGCTTAGGCTAATCCGCTAATTAGTTGTTACCATATGTTATATCATCATATTACAGTAATTCTACAAATTAAAATTCAAAATCTGACACCTTAAGACTAGTTTTTGAGTTGGGTGCATTGAACGCACTCATTTTTGTGAGTGTATATAGTCACCATATGATGTATAGTTGTCACTATATACACTCACAAAAATGAGTGCGTTCAATGCACCCAACTCAAAAACTAGTCTTAAGGTGTTAGATTTTGAATTTTAATTTGTAGAATTACTGTAATATGATGATATAACATATGGTAACAACTAATTAGCGGATATATATGGTGACTATATACACTCACAAAAATGAGTGCGTTCAATGCACCCAACTCAAAAACTAGTCTTAAGGTGTCAGATTTTGAATTTTAATTTGTAGAATTACTGTAATATGATGATATAACATATGGTAACAACTAATTAGCGGATTAGCCTAAGCCCTAGACCTCCAATTTTGATATCTATCCCTACGCCCCAAAATTTAAACCCTAATCCTAACCCAAAATCTCTAAACTCTAAATCCTTCAAATTAAAGTAAATCTTTAATGGTTTTTGTGCAAATTCATGTGCGTTATTGTTCATCATATCATAAGTGATGATTGACATCATTTTGACATAAATCACATGTTTAAAATGACGGTTATGAAGTGAGTGCACTGAATGCACCCAAAAAAATGAGTGCACCGAAGACGCCACTATATATATATATAAAATATATTATATATTAATATAAATATAATTATATATAATATATTATATATATAATTAATACGTATACTTATCCGATAGATCGATATTCCAATTTTCGCCGAAATACTATCAAAATACTCGATTTTAAATCGCAAACTTTCTAGCGATCGAAATATGGGTTTTGCCGGAACGAGATGTTACATCCTTCCTTACTCATCTATCACAGATCTCGTGCATTCGTTGACGTGCTTATTTATGTCGATGATGTGGTGATCACCGGCACATATGCGGCTTTCATTGCCCGTGTCAAGCAGTATCTTGATGATCGTTTTAGTATCAAGGATCTCGGGCCGCTCAAGTATTTCTTGGGCATTGAAGTTGCCCGGTCAGCCAAGGGGTGTGGTCCTGAGTCAACGTAAGTACACGCTCGATATTCTCCAAGATCCTGGCGTCGAGGGTGCCCGTCCGAGTGGTTTTCCGATGGAGCATAATCATACCCTTACTCGTCCTGCTGAGGAAGTGGTTGTTGATGTTAGTTCCTATCGTCGACTCGTCGATCGGCTTCTCTATCTCACGTTAATGTGACCGGATATTGCCTATGCTGTTAATGTTTTGAGTCTGTTTGTGATTGCCCTAGGTCCTGAACATGTCGCTGCAGCTAACCGCATTCTCCGCTACCTGAAGACTGCTCCTGGTCAGATCATTTTTATGCCTGCTCATGGCGCTTTGGACCTCGTCGCCTACTGTGATGCGGGCTGGGCTGGTTGCCAGTCCACCCCTCGATCCACGACCGGCTATTATATCACTCTTGGTGGAGCCCCCATTTCTTGGCGGACTAAGAAACAACAGGTGGTTGCTCGGTCCTCCGCTGAAGCTGAATACAGGGCCATGGTCAGTACTGCGAGTGAGGTGCTTTGGCTTTGCTTCCTCCTTCGTGATTTGCAGGTTTTCTCATCTGGTCCCACGACCCTCTTCTGTGATAATCAGGCTGCTTTACATATTGCTGCCAACCCAGTCTTTCATGAGCGTACTAAGCATGTGGAGATGGATTGCTACTTCGTTTGGGAGCGTGTTAGCTCTGGTGAGATCCGGCCCCAGAAGATCCACACACAATCTCAGCTTGCCGATATACTCACCAAAGCACTTGACACTTAACAGTTTCATATTCTCCTGTCCAAGCTTGGCGTTCGTGACCTTCACGCTCTAGCTTGAGGGGGCGTGTTGAGTATGTTATTGTTGTGTTTGGAGACTTTGGGTACCTCTTTGTAATTGTTGTTTCGTTCTTGCACTAGAGACCTTGTTACTGGGCGTATATATATTGTTTTTAGCCTCTTGTGTGGCTGCCAATATAACACCTACAACACCATTGACTGCAGAACTAATAAGAGCTTGAGATCGTTCTCCGTGGAGTAAGGTCATCCATACCGGATGACAAGAACCACGTAAATCTTCGTGTCGTGCGTTTATTTGCTTTCGCGTTCAAACTATTTTACACTTTCTAAGGATCGTTTGGAAGTTCTATTGTTAAATAAATATATTGTTGTGAATGCATGTATAATATTATACATGTATTGTCGAATTTGATACATTGTGAAATATAACGTTTGGTATGTGTGATTGTGTATGTCACGTCAGCTAAAGCCGAGACAAAACAATCTCAATTCAACTATCCCAACAATCCCAACTAAAAGCTGAGATATAACAATCAATTATTTTGAGTGATAATTTCTGTCAAATCACATAAACAATCCATATATTGTTTTTCTAAGAAAATAAAAAACCATGTATAATAAGAATCTCACCAAAACAATAGCAACCTCTAAACCAACCCTAAATCCCAATCCTGACAATTTTTCTACTAATCGGCTCTCTGTTCTTCCTTGTACAACCCCTTCTTGTTGGATTGCACCTAACCAATCCTCCAGCAAGTTCCGAATGCCAAAAAAAGTCCCAAGTTTATAACAAGTTCACTGCACTTGTGTATCAACAAGAAGTGGGAGCAATGAACGCATGTGCAATTCATCAGTATAAATGGATTCTCTGAATCTCCATCCATTTTGGAATAATTTGGTGATTCCTAAGTCATTAGTATTATATAATCAAGGTCACTCGCCACCGCCAAAATGCACTAATTAGGGCCATCATCAGCTATACATGCCTTCCGTTAATTGAGGGAGGACCCGTGTTGGAATGTAATATCATTATAATGTAACTAAATATTAAAACCACACTAACTCACTCACTCACTCACCAAAATCGTCATTTGTTTATTAAAACCTTATTAGTGGCAGGAAGGAACTCAGGAAGACCGCAAATACCCATTCATGGTTTCGGAAAGAATTGACCTAATAATGTTAGAGCTTAGTAGGCACTAGGCACCATAGCTGGTGTAAACTATAACTACAATATGTAAATCAAGGACAAGTGGTGCGATCAGGATTACATTTTTCTGTCTCATGTTCATTTAATGATATTAATTTTGTTATATTTTACCAAATTAGTGTTATAGACTACTGTCATATCATGATCTAATCATTGTAATAAGACATCTATAACCTCATACCACTGTCATATCATGATATTTTCCAAATAATATTATCATCATAAGACATCGTGACATGGCAGTAGTATAAGATGACATAAAAAAAATTGCTTAAAAAATATCAAACATTTTGTAGTTTTGCAGTATTTCGATAAGGCATCACTATCTCTCCACTATCATACACACAACATAATACTATGATAAGATTTCATAATATCATCTCGCCATTGTTATACCATAATTTTACTAGTCATTGTTATACCATAATATTACTATAATGGAAAGACGGTATAATACCATCATATCACTATAAATGACAAGTTTTGAAAACTCGAGTTAAACCTGATTATTTTGCACAAAAGATTTTGAAATCCGAGCTAAAACAAATGAGATATTATCCGTTGATAAGTTATAAGAAATCGAAATATCCTATCAATTACTACTATGGAAATTCGTGTCGGTTGCAATAAATAAGGTTTTGTAGCTCTACAAATATCTTGCTAACTAGAACTAAAGGGAAGTAAGAGCAATTGCCATTTTTTACTGTGCCTTGAGCCTGAAACTCTTCCTTATAGTCATGTCTATCTACGTCATTCTTTTGAAGTGAAGCACAAAGCACTAGCAATGACTTCCTCTTTCATTACTTCATCCTTTCTTTGAAAAATAAAATGTTAAACGTGTACAATTCGTAGGTTAATATATATATATATATATATATGTGGGGAGTTATATGGTACCCAAGGTGAAATCCGGGGTACTGCATAACTTGAGTAAGAAATACTATTCAGAACTTGAATTGACTGATGTTTCGGACATGATACTATACTCTTACCCTTAAAGATCAAAATCTAGGTCTTAATTCTCTATATTATACCCCAAGATCAATTTAATTAGAAACAATAATCGACGGTTATGATTCGTCCAAATATAGGCAAAAAAATAATTCACCATCTTAGGGTTTATAGTTTATGATTTAGATAATTAGGACCTAGAGTTCACTCATTAAGGGTTAGGGTATAGTATCATGCCAAAAAGTCCTGCTAATTCGAGGTATAGATACTGTTTTCATACTCAAGGTATGCGTACTCCGGATGTCACCAGAGATATCGTAGAAGGCACCATATATATATACACATATTAAACGGTGTATTCAGTGCCCTCTTTCCTTTTTTTTAAAGAGGAATAGTTGGATTAGTCTGGTGCTTGCTGTAACATCCCAAACCTTTTCCCGAGCAAGATATTGTCCGCTTTGGGCCTCGACCCTCACGGTTTTCGACTTGGGGTGCAATTCAAGGTGACTTCCCATAAGGTCACCCATCCTTGTTGTACTCCACACTGAGCACGTTTAACTTCGGAGTTCTCACAAGAACTCTTCATTTTCACCCCAAAACGCGTTTTGTCAGTTAAGGCCGGTTTCTTACTTATGAACCATGGATCTCTCCCGTGC